TGTCCAATGTCGGGGCTTCGAAAATAAGCGTAGAGTTTGGAGGTAAATTGTTATCCTATGACTATGTAGGGACTATATACAGGATAGTATTGCCGTTTTCCGACCCCTTATAATTAAGCCGTTAACCCAAACATGCCTTGAAAGCACCCGGGTACACCCGGGTTAGTTTCTGCGTCAGTGCGGAGGACCCTAAACCCCACACCCTAAACCCTAAACCTTAAACCCTAAACCATAGTAGTCCTGCACCCACTCCCGGGGGCCCTACACCGCAGAGTCCGAAGCCGTCTCCAGCCTTTGGTCCTGTCTGGACTGTTTTTGCCACGGTTTAGGGTTTGGGGGTTTGGGGGTTAAGGGTTTAGGGGTTTTGGGTTTAGAGGGATATTACCAAAATGGCAATTTTTCGAACAGGCTTTTGGTACTAATATGAGTCCTCCTACTATTGTTAGGTATCATTGCTGGGTCGCTAGCTGACGGCCCGACGGAAGTCGTTGCCGCTTGTTCTATGGCTTGAGAGTGTAGTCACAAGCTCCCACCAAGGAAAGAAAAGACACTAGGTACTGTAAAGTAGATTCTCGCCAGGTTGAAACCCTTGACCCAGAACTCCTGAGTTCCGCGGGCGCCGGCATAGGAGTTCTTGAGGGCAATTGGGTCAGCGCCGGCCTTGGCAAAGTGATGCTTTACCATGCCCAGCTTGCAGTTAGGGCCCTAAACCCCGCTCCGACCCGAGCCCCACCGCCTGGGCTTAGGATTTGGGTGAAACACACCACAAGAAAGCTAAACCTGCATCAGGTAAAAAAATCGGTGATGTTATAGAGTTATAGGGGTAGGGTACCTGCCGCAGCACATTGGGAGCTCCTGAACATGCACGGAAGAGTGAAACACTAAACGCTAAACTTACACATCGAAACCACTCAGGCCGTAAACGCAGAACCTTGAAACCGAGAATGTCAACCGCCACGGCCCGGGCTCCTACAAGCTATTGCCGTATTCTGACAAGCAAACTCAGCTCCATCGACTAGTCGCTACGAACTATGCGTGTTGGAACCTGCGAACACCCACGGATACAGTATCTTATGGCTAATGGCATTAAAAATCCCGGGCGATTTTTGCGTGTATGTCTGTGTGTGTGAAAGGGGATTCGACCCTCTGCATATCGTCCTCTCCGAGATTGGGGATACGGGGCTGTATGATATTGGAACGATACTCCACGACAACTTGCTTCAGTCTTCTACTGATTTCAACCATGGCACAGCAAGCAAAAGCGAATAACAGCAGCGGCAACGTTGAATTATTGTGACTGTGCATGTTCCATTTGTGTTGTGAGCAGCACTGTTTGCTGTTGCTGTTGCTGTTGCCGTTGCCGTTGCCCTTGCCCTTGCTGTTGTTGTTGGTGGCGGCGGTTGGTGCTGGTGGTGGTGTAAGAAGCGGCTTTGCCTCCACTAAAATCATTCATGAACATTCATACTGTCAGCGATTCTCTTGCTTATGATGACGGCTTAAGCTGCAGCAGCAGCAATAGGAGTAACGATTGTTACTGCCAACCTATCTTCTGCAAACTGATCTGATCCGGAATTCCAATTTTCATGCTTTTACAGGACCAGCCCAGAAGGTTTTCCCTTTTCCGGTTTTGTGTGAATGTAGGGGAGCCCACTCTGCACGAACCCTTTTCAAATCGAAGGTAAACACACTCGGCAGAAAGTCGAAGAGCCTTGGCCAACTCCACTGCCTTCACCTGACCAAGGTGCTAGGGGTGCGAAATGGGAGCTAACAGGGTTTGCAACAATCACCACTGCATCGGATCCACTTAGCATCTGGTGTTGTCGAGTTCTTGAGTATCTTGCAGGTCTCAAGTAAATTACATGGAGACGAGTAACACACTGAAAAAACTTCGCTGCCCATGCAGTGCAGACCACCACACAAACATGATAAATACTAAACTCACAGCTTGAACACATTAAGACAAACACTGGCAAATAGTAGTGACTAGACACAGACATCACTACACTAATCCCGAGCAGGCCAACGTGCAGGCCCACCAATGTTTCGGATGACGTGTGGTGGAACAACGTTCGAGCCCGAAGTCACATCTGAGCCACTATAGCACTAGTTATACTCGGAGTTGTGCGGTAAAACCCACATATCGGGGAAACTGCTGTTGACTTTAGAGCCCCTCCCCGCCCGGGTACCATGATACTCCTGAGAAAAATTGGTGACCTCGGAAACTTCGGGTTTTATATGCTCGACATACACCAAATTGGTGAAACAGAAGGACTAGTTTGGCTTGACATACCGGCCTCTGCTCGAGATTTGTGACCACCAGGCTCGGGTGTAAGGGCTCATTAAGTTTTAGCGCGCATACTCCTTCCTAACCGTAAGTTCTAAAGCATACACCTGCACAAATGTGCATAATTAAAAAATCCCCATATCGACTCCGCTTCAACTTCCCGTTTGCTTTGCTAGATGGTTCTGGTCAGGCTAGGGGATTGCTTCATTTGTTTTCAGCAACAGGAGCTTTTTTGCCGCATCGCAGCATGAATCAGACATGCTCCCGCCCCTGACCATACGGGGTTGTGCTGCTGTTATGCCCTCATGTGCTGTTCCGGCTGCGGCACGTGATCCCTTCAAAGAGCTACTCACGCAAGAGACTCTTTGTCGCTTGTTCGATGCAAGAGCCTTGCTTGCATCCACAGCCCAGCACCAGCAGATGTAGTAAGCTTGTGCCTGCGACCGAAGTCGCGGAGCCATCTGCGATCCAAGCTTGCTTACCTCATCGATTTCTGTGGCCGCGAAAGAGCTGCCGTAGCTTGCAGCGCAGGATCCCTTGCAGGTTGTGTGATCGAATGTTTGCATGAGTTGCGGGTTTTTTGCTTCAATCAAACCAATGCAAAAGAAGAAACTGGATTCTGAAATGATCGCGCAAAACTTGCATTTGAAGAGGCCAATCGCCAATCTCGCTTGAGACTGGGGCAGAGTCTTGTCCTTTGTCACAGCGTGCGCCGTGCGCCATCGAGAAACCTTCGGGCATCGGATACTTTTTGCGCTCCATCCTCCAGCACGTTGCTCGGCACCTCCTCCACAAGGGCGGGCGTCAGGAAGTGCCGCGGACGGATCACCAAGCCCACTGCTGCAGCTTCCGCTCGAAGCCTGCAATGGACACTGCGACTCTGCCGCAAGACAGAAAGCACTTCAGGATCAGGTTTCCCGGGCATCAGGCTCCATCTTGGGAATTTTGCTCGTCAAGGGCAAGCCTTTCCCGATCTTTTCATCGACCAGATCCAGGAAGCCCCAAGTTGGCTCCGTCGCTTCTGAAGCTCCTCTTTGTCTTCAGGCCTCGGTCCAACTTGCAACTAAACCATGGTTCTGGTTTCAAGCAGAACGGATCTGATTGAAGTGGCACCATGAATCGAAGCAGAGCGATAAGATGCTGGAAACCCCAGGTGCTGTGGACCAACGACAACCTGGGGGCCTTTTATCATCTCAAGTTGTCAATAACCCATGGTTATGCTTGAAGCAGAACGTTTCTGCTTGAGGTGGCACCATGAAGCGAGGCAGAACCATCAAAGGCTCGAGGGCCTCCCGGGGCCTTCTATCATCTGAAGTTGTAGCAAAACTCATGCTATGGTTGAAGCAGAACGGTTCTGCTTGAAGTGGCAGCATGAATCGAGGCAGAGCCATCAAATGTTCGAGGGTCTACTGATGGGCCTTTTTCTCATCTGAAGTGTTAAGCAGCCCATGGTTATGGTTGAAGCAAAGCGGTTCTGCTTGAAGTGGCACCATGAATCGAAGCAGAACCATAAAATGCTGGAAACCCGAGGTGCTGTCAACCAATGGCGACCGAGGGGCTCCTGCTGAGCTTGTATTTTCTCTGGGAGAAATCTGTCCATGGTCGCCTGATCAGGGACAAGGTTCTGCTTCGTGGTGGTTCTGCTTGGGCCTCCACTGAAGATAATGGGCTTTAGGTTGTTCTGCTTCAGCGGGCTTGGTCCGGCAATATACCCGACCAAGGTCGTCGAAGCAGAACCATCAAAGTGGAATCCACTAACTGCATGCATTCCTCGATGCTTCCCTTGCTGCATGACACTAACGAATCCCCTGTGGTTTCCACTGGCCTCTGGCAGATCCTATAGGCTCGTCTCACTAAGCTCGGTGAGAAGCGGGGCCAGAGGCAAGCTGTGTCTGCAGAGGTCACTGAATGCTTTGCCCCAGAGTTCAACAAATCAAAAGTGAGCATCCAAAACCTGGTCTGGTTCGTGCACGACCTGGTGTTCTAGACAGAGAGAAGGAGAGAGAGAGAGAGCGAGAGAACGAGACAGAGACAGGGAGACAGGAAACCCAGCCCATTAAGCACCAGAATCGCGGATCGTCCGCGAGCTTGGAACTGCTACAGATTATATTTCCGCGGATAGTCAGCGACTGAATCTGTGGAATGGCACAAGACCCCCGGATCTGATTATGGTTCGTGGATACTCCGCGTGGATGTGAGTCTCGCGGCTGTGCCGCGTGAATGAGAGCTTCGCGGATAGTTCGCGTGATTGAATGTTTCGATAATCCGCGTGAATGTAAAGGATGCGCGGAGATTCCGCGACAGGAGATGAAAGGAGAGCTCCCCACCCACCAATTCCTGCATTTCGTCACAATTCAGCCAAAGCTCGGAGCCGAAGCTAGAAGAGAGCTCCCTCTTGCCGTGCTTTTAGAAAACGTGCAAGAAGGCCAAATTCCGCGACTCTTCGCGAAGCTGCAGCATCGCGACCAGATTGCCTCTGTCCCGAGGCAAACCATGGACTATCCCCCAGCCCTCCATCTTTTTCTATGGGAGAGCACTCGCGGCTGAGGCACTCCCCAAGGCTAGTACAAGGTAGCCCCAAGTTGGAGCAGAACCATCTAATGAAGCAGAACTTGAAGCAGAATCGATTTGGGAGTTTTGAATAATAAGGCCATCAAACCTCAACCACAAGAGAAAATCTTCGGGGGCCCCGAGCTTCAAGGACCAAATTCCCAGCCTGCGCGTCCTTCTTCGGGAGGTTCACCCCGGTCGTGCTGTAGAGCACAGCATAGAGTTCTCCAGGGCTTTGGAGGCTCTAGGGCTTCAAGTGGGTTAGAGGGTTTAGGGTAAGAGTGTTAAGAGCCTTTCATGTGAGCTCGGGGATGAACCGGGGTGTCTGGTTGGATGTTGGGTGTTCCGAAGTTGTGGTGTTGTTGAAGGGAGGGAGTCCAGAGATTTCACGGCTTGGTTCAAAATTTCAACAGGTTGGGCTCTCAAACCCCAAGCCAAAGTCTCAACACCGCTCTGCCCAAAAATCCCCCCAATCCTTGTGCCCTCTCCCACCTGCCTTTGACCTGGTCTGGCTGGGCATAGGCCTGCCCAAGATGGCCCAGGGGCAAACGGAATCCTAGGCCCTAAGCCCGAAGACCATAAATTGGAAGCCCTTGGAGTAGCTTGAGATTCATCTGCCGCGCCGGTGCTTAAAGCTTAAGTGTGGATTTGGGCCGGCTTGGGTTTCAACCCTCTTTTCTGCGAAGGCAGGAATGTGGGCAAACCAGCAAAACAGCTGCTGCATTTTAGAGGGAGGGGGGGTCGGGGGGTCGGGGATTGGAGTTTAGTCAAAAAGCCACAAATCCTTAATTGCAAAAGCGCCGCACATGCGAAGCCCTAAAACCACGCCCAAACGCGAACAAAACCCTTACTCCCGATGGACGATGGCTCCTGGCTATCCTAACATTCGCTGCAGGCTCGGCTACGAACATCTGTTCACTTGAAATGCATAGACTGCGTGATCGCACCGAACCCTTCCTTCCCTGGTATGGACATCTGCGCAGCTTGCGAGACATGTCAAAAGTTGAACTACCGCACTCCATCCCCAATTGGTCCTGTCTCTCCTTGTGTTGCTGCGGTTTGCGTCCGTGTCTAAATTCGTAACTCTGCCAGGCAGGGAAGCCTAGGCCCGAATTTGTAATGCCAAAACCCGAAAGCCCTAGACCCCAAAACCCAAAAACCCCAAAAATGTCGAACTCCTAGCCCTGAGCCGTGTTCAGCCCACGACCTTCATGAGCTCCAGAGAAGAAGATTTCGCCACAGACTGCGGGAAGCTTTGCACAGAGAGGCTGAGGCGGAAATGTCACAATATAGGATATCATGACTCCGAGGCATGTTCTTTCCTTAAGGTTATTTGAGAATTCATGATGAACGCAACACAGGGTAAACGTCAACCACTCAGCCTTTCACCCTCCACAGCCCGCGATGCTACAGCCACGAGAACAATGTGAGGCAGTGCTTCTTCAAAAAGATATTCACCAGCATTCCCGACTACATTTAAAGCTCAAACCCCGCGATACTTGCTGCTGACCTAGTTCTTGCTGCTGTTGTTGACATTGTTAGAAGAGTTGTTGCCGTCATCCGATGTCGTTGGTCAATATTGAGTGTGATAGCGATAGCGCGGCTATGGCTCCGCAGGTATCCTGACTGATGAATGCGGACGGCTGATTGTTATTGAGGATGCTGATGGATGATAGCAGTGCGGACGGCGATAGGGCGGAAAGCCACGAACAGCAACCTGGTGATGGCTGTGGGTATGCCTATAAGCACCGTCGTGGACCTGATCATGCTCCGGACCATGTTGTCTGGTCATGGTCTCATGTTGCAGTGGCGGTGGTGGTGGTGGTGGTGGTGGTGGTGGTCGTCACTGTTGTGGGTTTCGTTCCACCGTTCCTGCGATTCGATTGTTGTGTAACTTAGCTGTGTTGTTCCAGCGGAAGTCCCACCGCCCCTAGATTATTTCAAGAAAGAGCAGACACGAGGCAACCCCGCAAGCCGAAGGCGTGCAAAACTGTCAAGCGTACCGTCAGTGAGCACTGACCCAACATGAAACCTCAAAAACAAGACTTGCCCACAAGCCTTGGGCAAATCGACGCTTGATGTGCTGTACAGATTGGTGTACATGTGCTTCAGGATTTCCTCGGACACCGGACGGGATCGATACTTTCGGGCAGGTGAGGCTGCCATGGTTGTTCTCAACTGAATGGTGTTTTGCTAACCCTGTCCACTGACAGCGATGGGGCTGCTGCCAATCACTCTGATGATGCGTGATAAATCCCATTCCGAGTACATGCCTGTCTACCTGTCTGCCTCCCTATCTACACTCATCAATGTACCAAGGGAGCCCAATGTACACTCACCACAGCCCCAATAAAGGCATTGGCTCACAGATGCATATGTAGATTGAAACGCACGAGCACATGCAGATGTGTGTTTGGCCTGTGTCTATGTTTGCACGGCGTGTGCGCGTGCGTGTGCGTGTGGGTGTGTATGTGTGTGTGTGTGCTCGCGTGTGGGTGTAGGTGTGGGTGTGGGTGTGGGTGTCTGTGTGTGCGCGTGTGCGTGTGCGTTTTCGTGTGTGTGTGTGTGTCTCTGTGTGTGTGTGTGTGTCTGTGCGCGTGTGTCTGTGGATGCATGTATATCGGTCCCATTTTTCTCTTAAGCAGTGGTCTGAACAATCATGCATTGCCTCTTATGAACTTGATGACTGTAGCAATGAAAAGTAGTTGTTGCTACATACTTGGTTCGCAGTTATTCAACTTTTGGGAGGAGCGACAAAGCCGGAACCACTGTGAGAAAGCCTTGGTGTCAACTGGGACGAGTCAAGGGTCAGTGTAAACAGTGTCTGAACCTGCAAAATGTAATCGCAATCGGGAACCTGCATGTTCTGAGAGCTTACTTCGTAGGCAAACAGGCCAATTGACAGAAGGCGGGTTGTTGCGACAATCATCCCCAGCACCTGCGCCAAAAGTCCTCATCAGTCAAGGCCAAGAAGGTATAAAGAATACAAAATCCTAAGAAATCCTACATAGACCCACTCGACACTATAGAAACCCCTGTACTAGGCCCGGACCCTAAACATACACCCTACATCGCTTTTGGTTTTCGAACTCCACCGAGTCCAAAGACGGGATCGATGTGCTGCTTTGACAGGTCCAGGAGCTGGTCCTTCATCTCCTTTAAATCTTGTGGCTTTAAACAGGGACTGAATTTAGCAGGGCTTTGTATGATCGCATATAGTTTACAGGGATTCAGGAGTTGTACAGGGTTCCATTAGCTCAGGATTAGGTGTTCATGGAATTTTTTGGAGTGCATGAGGGTCGGGCAGTTATTGTCAGGGCGATGCAGAGCACGTAAGCAGTTCCGAAGGTTCGAATCCCTTGCTTACGGCATCCAAATGCTTGATATGGTCTTTGAGACGCAGTACAGCCGAGGCCTCGGCTTTGAGCATGTTGGGTGTGTCTGTTCGCGCGAGTCCAGTGTGGACATGGCGCAGTTGTGGAGTGTCGATAACGAAGGCACCTCATTGGTGCTTACATAAAGTATCTACAGATGATGATCCTGTAGCCGATGCCCTTAAAAGGCACTCTGGTCTGCCTGAAGTTCTCCAAATTCAATACATCCTGTCTACGAGAAAACCCCCTACTGACAGCCTCATTCGCGGCAACCTGTCAGGCTCTGCTTACAGCCGATAACCGTCGGAAACACTCAAGTGAAAAAGGTAAGCCTGAGTGAGTGTCTTCGTCAGGTTTTGGCATCTTGCAGAGCAGACTCCAAGATGCCGGCTTGGGCTTGCAGCTCCGTTAGGAGAAGTTTTAAATCCGATGCAAACTTTGAGGCATTGCGCCTTGAGCGGGGTAGTCTAAACTGCTGCAACCCAGCAATTCTGATGCGCAGATCCGGAAAAAAAAACCAGAATCTCGCCTACGTCCGAAATTAGCCGGGGGCTCTTGCAAAGGATCCCACCTAGCATTGGAAGCATCCGCCTTAACGTAGGGTCTTTGCCGCAACCAGAGCAAGGTTCAGGTCTATTATTTCGGGTGCACCGAGGTGGGAACCCCAAGTAGATGACAAAACCACCACTTCTTCAGACCCCTGCAGTACAACCCACAAGCTCTTATATGATAATTGAAGCTCTAAACACGGACTATCACAAAACCTAAACCCTATAGTCCAAACCCGAAACCCCTATGCTGGAAATCCTCAACCCCTTGTAAACCCAGAACCACTCTACTATACTCCCTAAGCCATCATGAGCCGTAAGCCTCACTACACGAAGAGCGCCTGCTTGGAAAAGTCCAGGTAAGAGGTGGAGTACCTCTCGAACATCTATATATATATATATATACTACATGTTGTACATTACATGTTATATATATATATACATACATACATACATACATACATACATACATACATACATACACACATGTAAATACATACATTTATATATGGATATGGTAGAATATATAAAGACACTCTTCTAGTTGCATCAATCTCGGCATCGGGGAAGGGCTCTTGCCAGCAATGCATACAACAGCAGAACGCGAGGCACAGCTTGTCCAGTTCTGGCTCCGTAAATCCCTGAACCCTAAAACCCCCTACATAGAGAAAGTACGGATTTGCGTAGCCCCTGCACTCCTAAATTCTTCAAGTGGAACTGGCGACTTCTCTTAAACTTATCAAACCTTCTTGTCAAGCCAACCAGCGCTTAGAATCGAAACCTTCAACTCTCTTGGAAGAACGGCTGTAGGGTCTGGTGTGGAAGGCACTGAGAGTGTTAGATTCTCTCAGGCTGCTTGTGCGGAAGACTTGATGGGTTTTCAATGATTTTCAACACAGCGGGATATTTTTCGCTAGGAGCTAGGCCAGTATGCAACAGGTCCAAGAAGCACGAGAATTGCCAAAGGGGAATGGGAGAACAGCCTCTTCGTCAGTCTACAATCTCCTGATCTGCCTGCATAACCCTCGAGAGCCTCATTACAGAGTTGCTTTCTTGCGCTCTCTATTGCTATTGTGTCGCTTATGCATCCCCGTAGTGCTTGAAAATTCCGTCTGCGGCCGATCTGCCACGACCCCTTCGTGTTCGTGAGCTTTATTTTTTGCTTCGCAACAGTGGGCCCATGGTCTTCGAGGCTTCAGGGACACTTCAGGACAAGGTCTTACAAGTAAGATTTATGGTGGTGCTGTTGCTTACTTCTATGGGTCCGTTTCTGAGAACGACCAACGCCATACCAAAGCCCTTAGAACCAAGCAGCCCTACAGGAAAGCCGAAACATGCTAGGCTCCGTTGGCAGGTTGGGAAAAATCGGTGTCATGTCAGCTGTCGGGCAGGGTGGAACGACTATTGAAACTCAGACTGCGAGTACTGTGCGTCGGCTAGAACTCCTCAACACAAATCCCTGTCGCGGCTACAAGCAAAGACTTTCAATGGCATGGTCTTCTATACTTGCCAGACGATAAGCACTCCACTATCCCTATACCTTTGCAAACATGGATGGATGGAAGCCAATAGGCGCTTCTAGAGACCTAGACCTAGGTCTGCAACCGCTAGCCAATATGATCTACATTCTGGGCACGAATTATGGGGGTGTGGGGCAACTTGTAGCACATTGATAAAGCGCTCTATCCTGCTACTCGAACCCACTTTCCCAAACACCCACTTGCTCTTCCCAGCACAGGCCAAAGGCACAAGACACTCCTCAGCTGCTTGAGGTCGTCCAGGCTCACGCCGCAAGCGGTCAGGATGGGTGCCTCCTTCACGGAAGTTGCGATGCTAAGGTTTCAGAGTATTCAGGCCTCAGAAGCCTCAAGCCCCGCACTCTCAAACCCAAAACCCGTAGTAGCCAAAACTCTGAACTAAACGCAGACATTCTGGGGTACAACCCCTCAGCCCTCGAAACCTACGACAAAGGAAGCTCAAAGCAACTGAATGTGGGCCAGTCTCTAGGAGTCCTTAGCATCAGGATCCTGCGATCCTGCCGTTTAGGGTTTAGGCTAAGGGTCCTGCTGCTTCAGGTCTAGGGCTGAGGGTAAGCATCCTCCTCTCTAGGCTTCAACGAGCCCCTGATTTGCGGGAAACTCCTCAGTTCCGGGAGCGACGAGCCTCGGGTATGGGGCCACCGTGATTGGAAGATGGTCTTGGGGTTTGTTGTACAATAAGTCTAAAGGGACAACGGGGGGACACTCTTACCGTTGCTATTTAAATCTATTTAATCATTTCTGCGGTATTGTTACCGATATCGCCCTTGTTGACTGTTGCTTCTCTTATTAGATACTATTCACGATTAAAACCCGAAACCAAAGCTTTCAAAAAGCTAAAGCCCGAAGATGTCGCAAGATTTCCCGAGCCGACTCCCGTGACTCTGCAAACGAATAAACTCAAGGCTCCTCTGCAAACCCCAACACGGGGCTTCGGCTTTCGGAAGGAGACCGGTAGAACATCTTATGGCAGCCTATAATACCCATGAACCTGAGGGGTTTGAGGGCTGTAAGCCCTGAGCCCTCAACGCCCGAAACCGCCTTGTCGGCCACGGACTCTGAGTCTGACTTGGAAAGGTCCAAGCCGTCGGTGCTGTAAAGCCATTTCTGCAGCTCCTCCAGAAGACAATTGCTATTGCCAACATGAAGCGCTCCCACATCGAACTCAGCTTCCGGCGGGTTGACCGATGCAGCTGGCCAGCTGCAGCAAAGTAGCGAGGAGCACCTTCCGTCAAAGCAGATGCTGTCACCGACACCAAGTTACTGCTTTGGGAGCTTTCACGGCAGGACCCATGTGATTCGAGGATACATCCATTGGACGATTTCTAGGTGAGAAAATCAGTCAACGACTCCCCTATGAAGCTGCCAGTCAGTGAACAACTCAAACACTCCCTCTGCGAGGATGCTTCTTGGTATCAGCTTGATGTCCACGCCACTCTAGTACTCTTCAAGAACCCCTCTCGAAGCTTCCAAGGATTTTAAGCCAGCTCAACCCAAAAACCCTTAAACCTCAGAGCTTAGAGCCCCTCCCAGTTATAAACCGGTGCGCACCGCGAAATCCACAAGGCCCAGAACAAGGGAGCAATGATCACCTCTGGTGCTTCTTAGCCAGAGCCTATGGTTCAGGGTTTAAGTTTTAATGGTAAGTTAAGCATGTCGGTTCTCGCCTTGGCACTGCGACTGTTATTGCTACGGTTGCAGCAGGTTGTATGACTAGCACGACGATGTTCCTGCTACCACGTTACATCTACGATCAGTCTGCTACTGCCCTGCCATGACGGACACTACAGTATTGTGACCCGCAGTCGTACTGCTGCTCTTTGGGCCCACCACATGGAGAACCACCCTGGAGGGGCCAGCATCAACCAAAGGATTGTGAACTTAGGCTTTCCGACTCCCGGCTCAACTACCAGCACACGCAGCTAACAACCTCAAATCAAGTTTTTTGACTCGGCCACTTTGTTACTATGTCCTGGGAAGCTGTTTCCTGTTGGATTGTTACAGACCCTATACAAGCCACAACACAGACATCAGCCGGAAATCTGTATGATGGCTGTGACTATGACACAAGTTTGTATCCTAAAGCAGCTCTTTCGGTATCGGTCCGCTGCCGTTGAACTCTGTGAAGAGACGCACTCAAAGTGATCGTGTGATTCATGCCTGAAAATGCTTCAACGATGTGGGGATCTACGGGCCTCTATAAACCCTGAGCCCTACCTTGGGGCCTGAAGTTGTGCGGCTTTCGTCAGCCAAGCTTTATAGAAGGAAAATTGAACGTTTCAGCATGACCTAAACCCTAAAACCCTACCGGGTGCTGAGTCGGGAGATCTGGGCTTAGGGTTTCCAGGGTTTCGGGTTTCGCGCCCCTCAGCTTCGAAAGCACCTTGCAAAGCGCCATTCTGCCGTGTCGACGCAAAGGGGGGGACGATCAGCTCTTAAGAGGCTGCGGAGAGGGCTTAGGGAACGTTTAGCCCCAAAGCCTAGATGCCCTGCAAAAGCCGAAACCCTGAAACCGTAAATGTGATCCATTTGCTGCTCTGTTCCTGATGGTTTTTTGCGGGTGGAACCCGAAAAAACAGCGCCAGAAATCCCACCCACCTGTTTTGCTAACCCGAAGAGAGCGTGACAGACATGTGCGTCCGGAAGTATTGATATATCTATATATATATATATGTCCAAGAGGGTCCATATATAGTACCATCATGGATTTACAGTGGGGATGGTCTTTTGGGATCTAGTTCCATGCTGTCATGATAGCATATGCATATGTGGACCCCCTGGATATAGATACATATATATATAGATACATACATATATATATATATAATATACACATCTTATATATATACACACATCAATAAATCAATAAATAATTCAGTGCTCCCTTCATCCTTTTCTATCCCCCATATATACACGTGTGTGCGTTCACTTGAGTACAGTACTTGTACATATATATATATGTACATATAAACATATGATGTTGTATGTATTTCTTTTTCACACAACACGCATAAGCTGAAGATGCCTAGCGCAGTAGCGAGCAAGTCGGCATTTCCGTATGTATGTGCTTGCTGCCAGTACGAGGTTCGGTTCAAATAATGAAACCGCCAGACAGCTGACGCTTCCAGGGGGCTGACCTTGAGGGAGACCTGGGCCACACGTCTCTGAACATATTTCATGCCTTGAAACCTCGCCTTCCCTGGTGAGTCTCTAGAACGCGACAATTTCTGTTCGATTCTGTAGAGACCCAACCTAGAAAGCTTAAACCCTGAATTCTGAATCGTAAACCGAAGCGGGTTCACTTAGGTTCCGGAACGCTGGTAGGATTAACGGGGCTTTTGCTGGGTGGCATGGATCCTGGAGGTTCCAGTGGTTTAGTGGTAGACTTGTACTTGGGACTAACGATGCGCCGGCACATTTTCCAGAAGCGATTGCGGACTCTTTGCTGTGCCCCGCATGCAGTGGGCCTCCTGTCCAGCTCACCACCTGAACCAGATCTTGGTCTTGGGCAACCGGTGGCTCGCGGTGTAGTCGTCGGTCGGCGCCGGGCAGAGAGAGAACTTGGATTGTGGTGACCATCTTCTTGCAGCTGTCGCTAACTCTGCAGACACCTTGCCTGTTCTCGGGAAGCCGTCTGACCCCAGAGCCCCTCAAGGCTTCCAAGGCCTCTGGCATGGGCCTTATCGGTTGACGTCGTACTTCAGCTCTGCTTTCGCGCAAGCGTTTCGCGGATGTATTTGTCAATATCCTTCTCCTCAAACAGTCAAGGAAACAAACCGTGGACTTCCCCAAGGTGCAGCAGTGAACTTTCAGCCGTCCTAAATGGCTCTCTATGATATAACTTATCATAAAGAGGCCTGCCACTGCCACCACCACCACCACCACCACCACCACCACGACAACAGTCGTAACCACCAGCACCAGCACCAGCACCGGCACCGGCCCAGCACCACGACGACGACGACTACTAATAATTACCATCCCAAGCACAGTCATAGCAACCAATCTGAGCAAACACCGTTGATTGCTGCCAAGCGTCGGAAAATTTAGCATACCTGATATGATTTTTGCTCTGTACGTGCTCTTCGGTGGCGAATTTGTCACACAGGAGACACTCCCAAACTCCATCCTGTAGTGCAAGAGCTTTGGGACTTCGGGTTTCCGATAGATTCCAGGTGTCTCAAATCATGGTCCGTCAAAGGGAAGCCTCATCTAGAATAGTCCTGGTTAGGGACGCCAACCCTCAGAGCAGAACCTGAAGTGTGGTTGTAACCAAGCTCCGAACTTCAAATTCAATACGGGATTGAGAGATTCGCGAAAGCTTGCCGTAAAGGATTGCATGATGGATAAGGTGCCGGGTTTAGGTGGTTGCCTTGGTATATGGTGGGTAAAAGTTGGTGCGGGGGTATAGGCGACTGCTAGGCTGCTAGGCGAGGGCGTATGTCATGAACTGAAACATGACCCTTGTTAGCTGTAGCATCCCTCCCAAGGACAGAATCCCGATAAAGAGCCCTGGCAAGACTCAAATCTTCTTTCATGAGGTCCCAACATCGAAACCTGTAAACCCTTGGAAAACCTCTCAAGCCGTCCTAGATCCCACAAAGGCTACAAAGGCTCGAAAGAGGATATGAGGAACCCACAGGTTTGAGCCCTTTCGAATCCTTGCTGAACCAGACCGTAAACCCTCAAGCCTGATAAGCGGTCCTTGTTGAGCCAGTAGAACTTGGTTGGACCCCAACTTGCCGGAGGTCTCTGAGCTCCTCCTTGTATGGGCATCGCAGGAGCTGCCGTCTCCGCCTCCTCGGAAGCCTAAGGTCTTGCTGACTGGACTCCGGGGAGTATGTACGTATGTGTATACATACAGCCTTAAAAATACACATGCACACATATGTACACACGCATACATGCATGCGCGCATACATACATATGTGCGTACATACATACATATATGATATGAAGTTAAATAACCGATCTAAAAGTATAGATATACAAAACGGAGGACCCTGGATATAAATATGAATACAATTGTGATTCTACATGCACATGTGAATTATTACGTGTATGTGTAGATATCTATATATACATCGATCGCAGGTCCTCTGACTTCATATTTATGCAGGTGAAGAGAGTTCCTGAAATGCAGCCCAGAAGCTGCTGCTGCAGTAGATGCGCCTTGTGTCTTTGCGTGCTTCTGCCTGTTTTGGGCTACCCATTTCAAGATCTCTCCGTCTGAGTATCTGAGGTTGTTCCTCAGCTGACGTGGCTCATGCAAGAAGCTTGCCCTGCGTCACCAGCAGAGATAACTTGTGCTGAGGGCTTCCGCTGTACGTAGATTGTTGAAGCAAGCTGCTCGTGCTTTTTCGACCCAACGTGCTCGTCTGTGGCGCCCCGGTCGCAGAGCAGGCAAGTCCACGAACCATCCGGCAGTTTCAGAAAAATGTCCTGGCAGGACATTGTGGGAGCACAGGGCCTGGAGTTCGAAAGCTTCCCCTTTTGCAATGTGTTCTCAAGAGAGAACGTTTTTTGTTTTGCCCTCCGGTTCACGCCCCAAAAACCCTCGATGGTGCGCTCCTTGCGGCCCCAGGAAGCCGGGGGACCATCGGCAGAGGGGTCGCATCTCGCCTCCGGGGTGGACTCCGGCGGGTAGCCTGGCTTTAGAGTCTCAAGGCTTTCAGGTGCCAAGTGGGGTATGTTAAGTTTAAGCGCAAACTTCTTGTGCTGGAATGTCTGGGCTTCATCAGGTTACCAGGTTGTCTGGCAAGTATGTCTTGAATCCCACAGCCGCAAGTTAAACCATAATCCCTAAACGGCCAATCGTTGAACCAGGCCTGCTGCATCTTCTGCAGAGATGCTAGGGTCGCCAGAGCTAGAAGACTGCAGCTTGAACTTTTCCCGTGTAGCCCTGATGGCCCTGAGTGTGGAGTTTAAGGGGATTTCGCCGTAAGGATGACAACGGAAGGACACGAAGAGCCGAATGCAGCTCTAACTCGCAAGAGAGCATCGTCGACAATGCTTCGCAGACGAGGACCCAAGGCATTGTCAGGTAAATCCCGACCCCCAAATTGCAATCTGGTTGCTGCTGCACTCTCGTCTCATCATACTTCAAGTACCTGGTATGGTCCTTTCCTTGCACCTTGGCTCCCACAGTGACAGGCCGCTCAATTAGTGTGTATTTAATATCATCCATCACATATGTATATCGGAACTGCGAGGAGGTATTCTGGCTAATGCTCATCTACCCGATAAAACTTGTATAACAAACTGTTAAAATAGCAATAGTATAGTAATTAAAAACTTTCATAACAAACTTTGGCTATTGTTTATTTAGACTTCTGTGCTTTAATGCTTTGAACAGGCGCATCGCTCTGATGGTCTCGCAAAGCATCGAAGCCGACTGTGTGATTTTGAAACCTATCCCAACAGAGTCCCTACATATGTTTGCTTATCTGAAATTACGTAAGTATGTGTATACACACACACACATATATATACATATATATATATACACATGTATGTATACACATATGCATATGTAGAGAGAAAGAGAGACATTGATCTGCCCAATTGTCCCCATAATTGGCCACACCTATGTATAAATAGGCAGGCCTGAAAAAGTGGTAAAAGCATCCCTTCTTGTCACCATACAAGTATCACGACTAGGCTGTATGATCGATTGCTGCCTGGCAGACTAGATTTGTCTACCTGTGCAGGAACTTCCCCTGACACCCCCGTAAAACATCATCAATGCAGCAGCAGCTTTGATTTCAGCATCATCAACGACAACAGCGACACCATCGCCGTCGGAATCATCACAAGCTTCACAGTATGTTCTGGTTCGTTGGAGGCCTGAGAAACTTATAGGAGAGCTATTGCGCTTGCCGGAGATATAATGCATGAACGTGCATGCTGCGTGCTGTGCCGCTTTGGTTTGGGCTCTGAGTCGAAACGGGCGGTTGCGTGCCGTAGCACGCAATGCCGCATGCAATGGCGCAGTCACTAGCTAGGTGGTCCCCGTGCATGTCACCTGAGGATGGCAAAGCCACGAGTCCGTCCTTCCCCACGTGCCGGCCCGAGCCTGAAAAGTGACAACTTACAATGTTAACCGATAATAACCGGATTGCTTATCAGAAAGGATGCTTCTCTTTTACAATTTTCTCCGCTGTCGAATATTTCCACGGACGCTAGGATTGTTTTCAAAGTTCAGAGAGAACTTTGCTGACTGCTCATACGACCTACTTGCTGCAACTTGGCAAAAGACCAAGTTGCGACTGACTTAGATAGTTACATCAGCGTGTACCATGGTGCCAAGTAACTTGGTTATAAGTTATAATATTTATAACTCATGACTTACGTCTCTCTTGCTTCATGCTCATGGGCCTGTACAGTACTAAGAGAAACCGTAGAACGGTATCCAACTCAGTACCCATGACAGCCGATCTCCTGGCGTGTAGGCATGGGAAGAAACAAGGAATTCCAAAACCGCCAACCCTTCCACCAACACAACCAGCAAAAGTGTCAACCCTGAACATGGGTCGTCTGGGCTTAGTGGCTTAGTGACTTCTTGGAGATGAAATAAGCCAAGCTTCGTGACTGTCGGAGGCAGTGCGGCCACAGAGCAAACAGAGCCAAGACATGTCAGGCAGCCTCGCGAAAAGATCTGGGCGGCCCCACTGCGGTGGAGGAGAACTACCTGCGAAGTCCAGCTTATGGCGCTCGCAACCTACACCCTAGACACACGCGTGGCTTCGAAAGAATGCGCGTTGTGTTTGCTGAAGCACCTCGATACTGCTACTCCAGGAAAAATGGCTAGGCTAGGCCAGGTATACGGAACGATACTTATAGTCACTCTTCCTTCGGACCCCGGCGGGGATAGTCGCACTCTACATACCCGTGAAGCTGGCAGTAAAACTGGTATGATGGTCGAAGGACCTTCAGATGTGGTCTCATAGCAACATCGGGGCATGAACACCTTCGTATATGTGTATACTGTATCTTGCATCAGAGCTATGTCTACAGTAGCTACTCGAACCCTCCTATCATGCACAGTATATGGTTACAGGTTTGCCAACTGCATGTGCGAGTTCACGGTGGTCGTCGTCATGGTCAACCCAAATCAACACCTGCTGCTGCGCCTCCTAGCTCAATCTCTAACCTCGGAGGGAAAGTTTAAAACCCTCAGCCGTAACCGTATCTCTTGGAAAGCTCAACAATGCACCCCTGAAAGTAGTGGCTCGGGGGCCCAAACTGCACGAACAAAGATCCAACGGCTCGGGCATCCCTGCTGTCCATCCCGAATCCCGAAATCTACAAAGAGAATCCGACAAAAGCATTGCCGGCGGATGTCCATGGATGTTGCTTAAACCGGAAAGATGGGGATCAGCTCGATTTATGTAAATTTAACCTATCACTACGATGCTACAAACAGAAACGGAGACTACGTAGTTCTTTCAAAAGTTAACTAGGCAGTTGGGTGTATCGGCTTGCAGACTTGTCCATGCTATGATTCTGAAGCAGACCAGAAAAATAAACACTGTTGAAGAATCAGGCCCAGTCATTAGTTACCTTTCCAGACAGACTAAACACAGAACCCCAAATACATGTAAGCGCTGTTCTCCCACCATCGATGTAAGCACATTAGCTCGTCTCCGCACGTGGGGGAGTATAGGAGGGCTCCCTGCAGGCAAAGTTGGCTTTGAAGCAGGCTTTCGGGGTTTGGGCTCCTGGAGATTGGGGTTGTGGAGTTTCGGTACTTCTTATATAGCTTGTGGATTCAGTGAAGCTGTGAAGTCGCTCAGGCTGCAAAGAGCTAGCAGCTGAAGGGTGAGGAGTCATGCGGACAGTACTCAGTATTCCTTCCCCTGAGGTTTCCTGGACCCTGGGCCCCGAGGTACTGCTGAGAAGCACATCGACCGGCCTTCCAACAGCAGCTCGGGCGTGTCGGGAATTCCAGGATCCTGGCCCTCGGCTATCCTCGAGTGGGAATGCAGGGCTGCCAGTGTGATGTTGAGCACAGCAGGGAGATAAGGCGGAGACTCTGATGTGAAGGGCAATTGTCAGCAGATGTTTGCACATGAAGCATCATGAAGCTCTCCAGCCTCCAATTGTTCGGTTCCGATACGTTACAGATACAGAGTCTTAAACTTGATAAACAAATCCGAGCATCAGCCAGTCGCACTTCAGCAGCTCGTCGTCGATCCACCGATCCAACCTGGTCTTGCAGCTGGAGAGATCCATGTCGGCTCATTGCGGGGGATCTTGCTTTGTGCTTGAATGGCTAAAGTGACTAAAGTCCGTCTTGGGATCCATGCCTTCAACGGGCCCGGGCCCAAGGTCGGAGCGAGCGGCCCAACAGTAAACAATCACGCCGGTTACGGTATGTCCACCGTTGCACCGAGAAAGGGGTCGGGAGAAGGCGGCCGGGGGGGGGGGGCCCAAACGAAAGGCTTAGACCTGACTTCCTGAACCCTGATCTGAAGGACCTCGAACCACAACACCCCCCGAGTCTGTCCTCGAAATGTCACGTTCAGGCCTGAGATTCAAGATTTTCCGTGTCATTTGCAAAGACTCGCAGAAGCTACACACGAGCGTGGAAGCACCGTAAGCGCGTACCAGAACAGATGCTAGAATGAGAACTCAAGAAGCTTGCCCTCGTTGTGACATTCGACTTCAGGGTTTCGTGCTAAAGGGTATAGGGTTGAGGGTTAAGGGTTCAAAATGCAAACCACATGGGAAGGACCGACATAGGACCTCCAACTGCCCCGGCACCCGCTTTAGCCTGCTTGCCGTGGTATCATATGGCATGCCGTGCAGCTGTCCATGGTTCAAGTGCCGATGCCCTGGGATCGGTTGACAGATCTTGCTGGCGTACCTGGTGGAAGGCAACAAAGGAAATGAAGATGATGATGATGATGATGATGGCGATGGATGATGATGATGATGGTGCTGGTGATGATGATGATGGTGATGATGTTGGTGATGATGGCGACGGAGATGATGATGATGATGATGATGGTGATGATGATGATGATGGTGATGATGATGATGATGGCTATGAGGATGAGAATGACGGCAATGACACTAGCTCCCAGCAGCAGGACGGGACAGGGCTCGCCAAATGGGTTTATGCAGCACAAAGCGCGAGCATGGCTGCCTACGCATCTATATCTGTATCTTCAAGTTCCAAGCAGGCAGCTGCATTTTGAGATATATGTCGAATGATGGTGTCGGTAGACACGACGATCTATCTCTCGATGTTCCTTCTTGCATAGCTGTCTATTCAACTGTCTACCGGTCTCTCTCTCTCACTGTTTTTCTCGCTCTCTCTCCCTCTCTCTCTTTCTCTTCCCTCTCTCTCTCTCTCGCGCTCCATCTCCATGGTCCTTCTCTGTTCAACCTTCTTTGATGAATCTGGCGCTTTGCTGGGCGTAGATCATTGGCACGAGCCGTTATTATCAGTCCACTTGCTTCGTTCCTTTGAATGTCTGCCGTGATTCGCGAAGCATGTCAAACCAAGTGCCAGAGCACTGCCTCTGCATGGGAAGGTGAGCTGAAACCCTGAAAACCCCTGCCCTCAAACCCTGAACCCTACTCCTTAAAGCCTAAACCCTAAGCCCTAATCCTGACAGTCACCGCAGACCATCGGGTTTAAAGGGCTTGGACTTTGGGAAGTCTTCTCGCATACCGAAGTACGCCACGACTACCACAGGCCCGGAGATGTCTAGTACGGGGTCTCAAGAACTAACTCAGAAGCCTGACTGTTTCTATTTGCAGAAATGGTGGTAAACAAGTACATGGATGGGGGCTAGACTGCAGGGAAATGCTATTACTAACTATTCGGAGGCCGCTGGCAACCTCCAAACCCCTGCACCTCCGAAGTCACCTCCTCGCTTGGGCTCAGTCGGGTCCAGGGTGTCGAATGCAAACATCCGGGCCAACACAATACTCAACTAACAACCCAAGGCGTTGCACTTTGAAACTGGAAGGAGTTGTGGTTGAGCCTATGCCCCGCTCTGCATGCGCTTTGGAGATGCAGAGCATTCACACCGGGGCTTTCTACTGGGTCGTTCGTGATGCATAACTAAACTATACGGAATGGCAAACGACCGGTGCCACGGTGCCACGCATCATGATTGGAAGCTTTGAATACAGACTACTACTCCAAAAGCTGCCCTGAGTCCGGAAAATCGTGCATATTCTGCGCGACGTTCCCAGGTGGAAGAATGGGAGCTTCAGGACGTGAACTGGAAACCTGTATGATGACATCGGGAGAGACTCCAACGGAAATGTGTGACCGATTGTGCAGGCTACAACACAACAGCTTGAATCCAGCTCAGGTGCTTGAAGAGCATGTGTCGGTTGGATGGTGGCAAATTTGCAGGCGGATAGAGCGCACAAAGACCACAAAGCACACTGATCCTTGCAGTCCGCACTTTCGGAGCTTGGGGCACAGCTTAGTGCTCAGGGGGCTTACTACAGATCAAGACTTTGCAGCGCATGACCTGGATACTGTTCAGGGACAAACCGAACAAAAGGCGGGCGGGTCAGCACAAAATCCAAGAGAGATACTGCGGGATGCGGGAGGACCCTTCAAGACTGCAATCTTAAACAATGTGTTCGAATTGACAGTTGTTGAAACCGCCGCTGCTGCAAAGCACAAGTGCTGGTGCCACCCACCCACCCACCCACCCTCACTCTTTGTCTGTTTTTCTATCTCTCTCTCTCTCTCTGACTCTCTGGGGCTCTTCAGCCGAACGGTGTCTTCTGTAACAGCAGGAGCTGTGTTGCTTAGACGGACTCGACAGGATATGATGATAGCTCGTTGCCCACAAATCAAAAGCTGCAGTATGCTGATGAGGTTCAGTTGAAGAATAGCATTGCATTGTGGTCGTCATCCTAGCAGGGCGGGTACTATTAGTCCGACTTCTTTGCTCCGTCACGAATCGTTCGGGGTCCCCTACGGTACACTGCCGCTACATTTGTAACATAGTCATCAGCCGTCAGAACCAGCAGCCCTCAACCCTAGCCCCTAGACCCTAACATTTTCCAAAGTGAGTGTAGCAGCAGTACAAGAACATTAAAACAATAAGAAGAACAGCAACAACAGCAAGATGAACACCATTAGTGTGTACGAATGGTAGAGCTGGTATTTTTGCCTTGATCGAGGAACAGCCTGGCCAAAGCGATGCAGGCATCATCTTTTGATGCCAGAAGTTCGCCAACCTGGGGTTCTTCTTTGAGGGCGGTTTAGGGTGTCAGGGTTTTGGGTTGCAGGACATAGACGTCTTACAGAGAGATGGGATTTAGGGCTCTCGAGCTTGCAGACCTTGATTTCAGGGTTTAGGGTTCAGGAATTTATGAACAGTTGCCTCGCAAAGACAATCCGGGAAATTCAAAGGTGTCCCGGTATCCCAACTTCCCACCTAGCCACTGCGGCTTCTAAGACGTTCGCCTCCATTTTGGTCTTCTGCTCCTCAGGCGAACAGTAGATGGTTTAGGGTAGCCACAAACCCCGCGAAGCCTCAATCGAAAGCCCCTCCCACCTGATCAGAATTCCGTAAATCCCCAAACCGGCCCCGAAACAGGAAGCGCTCAAAGAGAGGGTGAGGTTAGGGTTTAGGGTTTCAAGTGTTAGGTGCAGAGTTTAGGGTTGCAGATTTCGGGTCGAAGCTTCAAGGTCCGGTGTTGGGTCACAGCTTTAAACGGTCTAGGGTTTAGGGGTTGGGCTGAAACGCTGGTTGCTGCCAAAATCTTTGGGGTGCCTATGGCCTTAACACCCAAATGTCATGTAGTATATGTGCATGAACACACAAACACAAACACAAACAAAAACACAACCACAAACACAACCACAACCACAACCACAACCACAAACAAACAAACAAACACACACACACACACATACACACACACACACACACGCGTAGATCCCGTTCGAGGCCGGTTGTCGACAATCTTCTTGGGTCCATTATCTTGGTCATGTTTCTTCTTCTTGCCTGTTGGTTAAATTTTACTAGATAGGAGCCTGTAGAGACCTGAGCAAAAGATCAAGATTGTGACATTTTGGATGCAGCGCAGAACTTCGATCAAGAATATTTATACAAAATTTATACAAAATCTCGAGGCAATATATATATATATATAAGTCTTCAGCGAGCGAAACGCTTGAAGGTACAGAGCTATGCCCCGTTGGCTGGCATCACGGGATAGGCTTCCAGCCCCCTGCATTCCCAATCTGCTTTCATATCATACTGCAGCAAAGCAAAGATACAAAGTAGTTCAATGATCAAATTCAATCTCCTTAGGAACAGGAGTTTCACACACACGCACGCACCCACGCACCCACGCACCCACCCACCCACCCACCCACCCACCCACCCATGCACACACACACACACACACCCACACGCCCACGCCCACGCGCACGCGCACGCGCACGCGCACCCGCACCCGCACACGCACACGCACACAGACACAGACACAGACACAGACACAGACACAGACACAGACACAGACACAGACACAGACACAGACACACACACACACACTCTGTGTGACTGACACACACACACACAGACA